CAATACAATACAATACAATACAATACAATACAATACAATACAATACAATACAATACAATACAATACAATACAATACAATACAATACAATACAATACAATACAATACAATACAATACAATACAATACAATGCAATACAATACAATACAATACAATACAATACAATACAATACAATACAATACAATACAATACAATACAATACAATACAATACAATACAATACAATACAATACAATACAATATAATACATTACAATACAATACAATACAATACAATACAATACAATACAATACAATACAATATATATATATATATAGCTTAAGTTTTTGGTTTACGAAACACAAACAGTGCTCATTACCATATAGATAGAGCAGAGCGTAATATAGTTTTTCGTTTTACCTCAAAAACCACAACAGTCTGTTTTATCCGTATAGTCTGTTTCAACAGTCTGTTTCACCTGATGATTCCTATACGGATGAAACAGACTGTTGTGGTTTTTTGAGGTAAAACGAAAAACTATATAGCTATATACAGAATATACTAAAACTAAATACAACATTAATTAATGTTTCTAATAAATAAATTAACTTTCAAAGTTTATGTCAGATATTGACATTATAAATTTGTGCAGAGTATCTTAGTGAACCCTGCAACTTTCTGGCAAACCATTCCATCGTTTAACTACTTCATATCGAAAAGAATGAAGTCCATGCTTTGTAGTCATAACTTTTGGTAAGTCCAGAATATCCGACCCACGTAGTGAGTAGTATAGCCTATATGCACTTCGTCTATTTAACATTTGTTTCAAATAGTGTGGATGTCTTTCACAATGCATTTGTGACAAGTTGTTAGCATATTACCCACCCGTTTATTATGGAGTGATCCGAGTGAAACTTGACCTGTTTTTTCTAATAGTTCACTATAACTTAAATTATGTTCATTGGTCATTACCGGACATTTCGTTTTTACGATTATATATACATCACAGGAAGATAGAGTAGTTTACATTTTATACAACTGCAATTGGCTATTTCAATTTAATGTTTCATAGACTTCATAGTCAGTTTCTGTTAAATAGCTATGTTTTTATGCATCACAAAACAGATATACCTCTAAGCCTGATCGGGATTCTCAGCACAGTAATAACTATAATTCTATAGAGCAAGCCTGATTCTATATGTACTATTTAAAACATGAGCATGCAGCAGTGTTTTATCAGATCAGATAAAGGTACGAGGCGAAGCCGAGTATCTTTAGGTCTGCATGATAAAACACGCACTGCGAATGTTTTAAATTGCTTCAAAAACGATCGATCTATGTTGTGTAAGTCGAGAAAATGGAAGTTAAAGTTCAAGGGAAATCTCTATCACATATAAAGATACGACACGCTTATAGTTATGATTTTTCTTTGTGTTTTCCTCATGAATTATTGAGTTTTTGAAAATAACTAAATATACGATTGTGTATTTATATTATATATACGACATATCAAATATAAAAACGTTTAGGCTGTCAGCACTTTTTAAAAAGTATTGGTTGTCAACTGTAACTACTTGTTTTGAAGACCATGCATGTTACGAATGCCATAACTTCCAGCTTTTTGACCAGACTATAGTATTTCAAATACGTGTGTTGTTCAACTTGTTCTTCCTTCCAGGCATGTTATGCGGCATCTGCTATTGGATATTTAACAAAAAGGTACGGTTAAATTATCCAAACAAATTCTTTGATTATTTACAACACTATATATTATCTATAATCATTTACTATCAAGTATTAAACGGCTGATGTTTTATTGTTTCAGACCAGCAGTTTGTCTTGTTGTGTCTGGCCCTGGTTTACTGCATGCGTTAGGAGGAATGGCGAATACAATGATTAATTGCTGGTAATTATTTTAATTTATTACTAACAAATTCTACAGTCAGTTTTGCAATCAGTCTGATACTTTAATTAGTTTTATTATCGTTGCGTGTCATTAATACATACAGTACGTCATAGTCTGTTAACATATGATGGAAAGCTTCAAAGTTACAAACTTCAAAGTTACAAACTTCAAAGTTACAAAATAGAAGACCTGTGTTTGATGTTGAACTGTACCACACCGTGAACACTTTTTTTTCTCAACTTCATTAAATATTATTCATCGTGGTTGCACGTTTCACTCACAGCTATATCCCTATTGCCCGATTACTTCATTATATGAAAATACAATGAGCTTAATTACCGTGACCGTACAGAAATTAACATAAACCCAGACAAAAACATAACACAATGACTTCTGTTTAGTTTCCAGACCATCATATTTTCATAGACTATGATAACGTGATATCTGCAGGCTGCAGAAGTATTGTAATATTGTAAAATACGGTTTGTAGCCGAGTCATGTACCTTTCTGTGACATGATCATGTAGAACCTTTACACGTCTATTAGCATCTATATACTCAGAATAGTAGTATAGTGAACTACTTCTATTTCCAGGCCATTAATAGTCATTGGTGGTAGTAGTGATAGAGACCAAGAGAGCAGAGGAGCCTTTCAAGAATTCCCTCAGGTTAATAATTTGTAGCTTTATAATTTATGAAAAATTTATGAAAAATTACTCTGTAAATGTCAAAGACGAAACGTTAGTTCTTAAATAAATAGTTTAAAATTTCATTTTGTGATGGCTCTTTCACGTACATTATACTAGCCATTGATTTCATTTTCAGCCATTAATTAGGATCCCGTCTGGTTTGACTCAGTCCCTAAGAAGCTATCTATCCCAGGAGGAATAAGTACAAATGAAACATTCTCGGACAATAAACAACATTACCACTAATGCACTATATATATAAAAAATCGAAAACGTGAGCTGAACTGCTCAAACAACGTATGCTTGTCAGCATAGTACCTTGCCCTGACCATGAAGGGCGCATCAGGTTCTTTTCCTGTTTCTAATTACTTCTAATTAATGATTCTTGCTTATATATATATATATAGGTTGAAAGCTCACGGTTGTACACAAAATATGCTTGTAGGCCGAATGATATTAAGAGCATTCCATTCATTGTGGAAAAGGTAACAGTTTGAATAAGATGCTTGCGATGTTACTCTGAGTGTGTATCCACACCGAGCAGGCTTGAAAAATATACCTGGCCACTGTGGCACAAACAGTTTCAAAAGGATTCCAGGAACAATTGGCACAAGTGCACAGAATTTTCGTCTAGATTAATAAAAGTAATAACTTTCCGTCTAAAAAAAAATAATAAAATTTGACGGCTTATGTTGTAACATCTACATGGTAAATTTACGGAAACAAATTTGAATATCGAGGTTCCAATTCTGCCTCGCACCCAGGCGCTATGTTTCCGCTGTGGATTGCGTCGCTGCTCTGCCTTTGCGTGGGGATTAATTTAATCGATTTCGTGGTGAAGCTTCCCGCCGAATTTTCACTTTTTTCCCCAAACTCGTACCCAGGCTCTTTCCACTACGCGAGGCGCGTAGTGGAAAGAGCCTGGGTACGAGGTTGCTCTTTCCCTCCGTAATGATTTATTTTAAGCACGTCGGCTCCTCAAAGTTAAAACAGCTTCTTTTGTTATTTCTAGGCTGTTCGTACCAGTATTTATGGTCGTCCAGGTGTGTCTTATATCGACATTCCAGGTGATATGGTGCTTGGAACAACAGATAACATCAGGTTTGTTGTACTTGTGGTCCAATCGCAAAGCTAGGTTTGTACCACGTGACATGAGCATGAAATATATCACCGAATCACCCCCTACGTCGTTGTGTTTGATGCAGCGAATGATTTTGATCATAACACCCGGGTGATAGGGATTCGCGATAACCACGCGAGAGCACACGCAAGACTCAGCGAAGGAAAGCGGGAACTGAGAGTGCAGAAGAGTGAAAAATGTTTACTTCAAGCAGACCTAGACGATGAACAAAGAATTTCGCTGAACTCCCCGAACAGAGGATCTTTTAATGATAATCGCTAAATTGATTAGATTAATAGAATTCAGGTTACGGTGGTTACCCAGAGGTGGTTAAAATGTTTTCTAGTTATTGTGCAGAAATATAGAATTGGTTCAGAATTTTCGATCTTTATTGTAGTGTAACTCCGGCTTGTTTGCCACCTCCAAAAGCCTTGGCTGAACCAAGTGCTATCCAGCAAGCTTTAAACGTCTTGAAAGAAGCAAAACGACCGTTAGTTATCATAGGAAAAGGTGTGTAGATTTATGACTTGTATAGTACCAGAAAATTGAGATGGATAGGGATTCAGCTATACCTTAAGTAAAATACATTAAGTAAAACTTCAACGTTTCGAGCGAAGGCCCTAAGTTAGTTGTAGTATATCGCAATTACAACACCTTAAGAAACTGAATAAAGAATTTATCTGTACAGTTTAGTTGTGATTGGGTCAAAAGTTAATGCTGTATAAAAACGTGTACCACATCATCGCCTTTGAAATAAATAAAGTGAAATGCGAAAACTTCATATTCCATAGCATTAAATCTTTCCTCTTGCTAACATTAATTTTCCAAGGTGCTGGATATGGTCGTGCTGAGAAGGAAATATGTAAGTTTGTAGAGAAATTTGGATTGCCATTTCTACCTACACCCATGGGGAAAGGCGTAATTTCAGATCAACATCCACTATGTGCAGCGGCTGCAAGATCAAGGTGAGATTTTGTTCAGTCTTCTCATTCGTTCAGTCTTCTCATCATTCCTTTAATCCTTTCGTAATACAGTAGTCAACAGTAGTTCAATCTACTGTGTGAAGATCATGCGCAGTAGAGCACACTTTTATGAGCTTGGCCATATAGAGTCTCTTTATCATGATTGAGACTTTGGCTGATCTTATTGAAATAAAGCGTATACTGTATGCCTTCGTTAGAGTTACGCCAGTTGTAACAAGATACAAAAGATGTAAAGCCAAAATCTTAAGAAACGAAAATGAAGCAGGCTACAAAGTACAATACTTTCTGGAAGAGTGTCCTATTAACTTGGAAGGAAATGTTAGTAAATTTTCTGTTTTCTAGAGCTTTGCTAAAAGCTGATGTGATATTATTACTTGGAGCGAGACTGAATTGGATTCTTCATTTTGGTCTTCCACCAAGATTTAATCCTCAAGTCAAACTTATTCAGGTTGGATAAATTTTTGGGTCCTGAGTGTGCTGAGATAGTTTGACTCACACCCATCAATTGTGATCCATGTAAGATCTTTCATTTTCGCCTATTCCCAAAATATCACGAATATGCAATGATGATGAACACGTGCAAACAAATGTAACGAACAAGAAACATGTGTTTTATCTTTCTCGCCGCCCCCTGATATAAAACATATTTTTGTTTTTCTTGGGCAATATAAGGCATAGATGGAAATGTATGCAAACAGTTTTTTTTTTCAAGGGGTATAATACACAGTAATGATAATAGAGAGGTTCAGATTTGACTTCCACTTCCTCTACCGCTAAGGGACAATTATGCAATCAGGTGCGTGTGATCTACCGGATTAACCAATCAGGTTCACACAGAGTAAGTGAGCGGTAGCGGTAGTGGAAGTCAAATCTGAACCTCTCTAATATACCAGTACAACCTTTTGATAATTACATCACAGATCTCTGCTTGGCCGAGGAGCCTCAATTTCATGAATCGTCAGCGAATTGCCTTTCGTTTTGATTCTTGAGAGCAAGGCGCCGAGACCAAGGAAGTAATCGTGACGTAATCATGACGTAATTATCGAAATTGTTATTATATCGTTAGGTTGATATATCTCCAGAGGAACTTGGTAACAATGTCAAGCCGACAGTTGCTTTGTTTGGTGATTTATCTTCAGTAATGAAACAGGTAAGTTGTATATTCATCAGTTTCATGGACTCTATAAAGAGGAGGTTACGATGAACGATACACTTGAGGGATTAAGAGTCAAACTACCTCATAATTAATTAAGTAAGAACTTAATTAAGTCAATCAAAATTTAATCCTTAAGAACTGCGACGTTTCAATCCAAGGGCAAGGCTCTTCATCTGACTTCAAACTTTCAGAAGAAGGACTTTCGCTTGAAACGTCGAAGATCTTATGTTTCAGGTAGTTTATACCTGTAATCCGTCACTATAGTCTACAGACTTTCATATTAAGTATTTAAGTGGGACACGATTGATTTTCAAATGAACATTTATCAACTGTAGGAATTAAGGCCCTGTCTCCAGATTCGTTTATTGCTAAAAAGGTATTGGTAACATTTGAGCAACTAGTGCTGCTGTATTTAATATTGTAAGAACCAGCAGAATATGGTGGCGTTCTCTGTTTGCATCAGGCCTAGATAATACATTTATCTTCCTGGTAGCAAATTCCAAAAATAGAAATTTCCTGTGTAAGTCAAATATAAAACGTCCTGCATATGTGGATTTCAAAGAACAGTGAGGTATGTCGAAAACAGGCATATTTTGTAGCCACGAACCGTGGCTATAAGGTTTGCTGAAAACAGGTGTACTTTATTGTACACAAAAAAGTGTGCTAAATTACTTAAAATACTTCATTCTAAAGTAGCCCGTATGGCATGGTATTTCTTTCAGTTGAACTCTGCAACAGAAGACAAAACAGACACAGAAACACAATTTTCAATGTCACCAAGCTGGAGAAAAGAATTGAGGGAAAAGATTAATACAAACCTACAATCTAAAAAGGTACTGTAATAAAATATATTGTATATACCAACAACGTTTTCCTGTTTTTGTTTCGTTATCTTAATAAATATTAAATGTTTAAAATGTATTTGTAAATGTATCAAATAAAGGTATACAGTTAATTCAAAAAAGGTTGTCCTTTGCAAACCTTAAACTCTAAACCTTAAACCTTAAACTCTAAGCGTGCAAAGCATAATGGGAGCATTATTTAATCAGTTTAGAAATTGTATATATTGGGTCCATTTCTTAGAGACATGGTAAATATCTCCTTACGAGAACAATTCATTCACAAATAGCTGCAATGTCCAACTATAAACTTGAAACTCGTGCTCCCATTAAGCTTTGCGCGCTTAGAGTTTAAGGTTTAAGGTTTAGAGTTTAAGGTTTGCAAAGGGACAACGTTTTTTGAATTAGCTGTATATCATAAGGCCACGCTTATAAACAATCTTGTATCAAGAAAATTTAGGGAACTTCGTCGCTTTGCGGGCCTTATTCGAGCTAGAGACCCGGGGGAAAATGCCCCTACCCCTTCTCGGCGGCACTGAACACATGGATCATTGGACAAGCACACCCTATCAAATACTCATCGTTATTTTTATTTCGCAGGAACTTGAAAATGATGATTCTATTCCAATGAACTTTTATAGAGCGTACAAGGAGGTATGTTCATACAGTAAGTTTATTCGTCCATTGCTTTCGTAGTCATGCATGTACATTATTGGTCTTACAGAATGTATTATTTATGTATTATTTGTGTATTATTTATGTAGTATTGATAAATTTGATATCTAATTCTCTAGCAAAATTTTAAGCAAGAAGAGGTTTCTGCATGAGAAAAATGTTTTTCTTACAAAGGTGTCTGTCATATTTTCAGATCCGACAGTTTTTGCCGCAAGATTGTATTCTAATTAGTGAAGGGGCAAACACTATGGACATTGGCAGAACAGTCTTACCAAGCTATCTTCCAAGACATAGGTACATATAAATATATTGTTATACCACTTGGTAGTGGTAGTAGTAATCTTTATTGAGAAAACGTTTTCATTTAACAATATTTTCGAACACACGTAAGTTATTAACCATCAAAAGGGATGGTATAATTCATAACGAAACCTTACTAACACGTACTTGCATCAGCCCAATGATGACGTGCTTTCAATTTCTACACACACTGGTTAAAATTCCTGGTTAACGTTCCTGATTAACCTAGAAATAACCCTATTTCGATTCATGTAAATATGTAATATTCCTGGTTAATTTTCCTGGTTTTTGTTTTAACCTATTGTTTAGTTATTTTGACGGGGAGCCGGTTGTATAAAACTCTTAACTACTTTTCTACCACTCTTGTAGTTAATACACTTTTGCACTAACTGTAGTTAACTTTAACTATATTTTTGTTTCCAGCCCGCCCCCGCCCCCAGGACTTCCTGGTGAAATTAATCAGACTATGTAAGGTGGATCACAGGGTGGATAAATAACCAGAGGCCCATTATTTATCACGTTTTTCAGAATTTCAAAGTTTTTATTTTGTTTCGTCATAGATTCAGTCATTTACAGTATCAAACAAACTGAAATGTCCGTTAAATAATGTTTATTTAGGTGATGAGCCGCCATAGCAAGCCTGAGATGTCTATATATGTTATTAATCTATGTAGGTTAGATGCAGGTACATTTGGCACAATGGGAGTTGGTTTAGGTTTTGCAATAGCTGCGGCAATCTTGGTGAAATACAAAGATGAAAAATTAGATCCTCCAGCAAGTCGTGTGGTTTGTATTCAAGGTGATAGTGCTTTTGGTTTCTCTGGAATGGAACTGGAGACTGTGTTCAGGTTGGTTTTACTCCTTCTTGCTAGTACCTTCTAGCTCGTTATTACGCCATTGTCAGTCTGTTACTACAAATCACACCCTACAAATCTAATCATCAAAATAATTGGGACACCGTATATTTACATGTAACCTAGCCACAAAAATAATCTTGCCACCATATTTACCTGGACTAAAAAAAACAGCTTATTTTAAGGTTCTACTAAAGGCCCGTTAACACGGGCGATTTTTGCTGCGATTTTAGTTGCGATTTTCTCCTTTTGGAGGATATGAAGGAGTAGATTACTTAATGACGTTGTTATGAAATTTCATAACCTGGAACATTTATAACTCATCCACTCCTTCACATCCATCAGAAGAAGAAAATCGCAGCAAAAATCGCCCGTGTAAACGGGCCTTAAAGTTTAGTAAAGAAAATTTCATCTATTGTGGTTATCCAGTCAATCACAACTCCTATACTAATGTTTAGTAAACAGTATGTAACGCTTACAGCCTAACAGCTGTGGGTGAAACATTAGTAACATTGGATGAAGTAGAGGAGAGGGCAAATGAAGAGCTAATGAATGTTCGAAAATGGCTGTCTGCGAATAAACTTAGTTTAAATATTACGAAAATTGTGTACGTTCTGATTGGATCACGGCATATTTAAAGATAAATAATACGGATGCCCAACCTATAGAGTTAAAATCGATAGCCAGTCAATCAAAAGAGTGAAACATGTGCTTGGAGTTCAGATTGGCGAGAATTTAATTTGGGGGAATTGAATTCATTGTTAGTAAAATATCGTCAGGTATTGGAGCTATAAGAAAACTAAAGGAATTTTTTGATCGAAACACTTTGGTATTGGTATATAATTCTTCAATTCAGCCTCATTTTGATTATTGTTGCGAAGTTTGGGATGTACTTGACAAAAGCCTTAGTGAACGTCTTCAAAAACTACAAAATAGAGCGGCTAGACTGACCGGTCAGTCTATTTTGGGTTGTAATGCTCTTGGTTGGATATCGCTTGACGAACGTAGGGCGCAAATGAAAGCCAGGATCATGTACAAAACGGTCAGTCAACAAATGATTACAATTTAAGGGGTTCTTCGACTAGGCTTTTTATTCCCAGGCCTAGGACGGAATTCCTAAAAAAAACGAAGTTCCAGTTACAGTGGGGCCGCTCA